GCCTTCAAGTGCTTGGCTCCCGAGGAAGTGTCCGACTGGCTGCACTTGGATGACGCCGCTGCGGGCACAGAGGAGGAGGAGGAGGACGGAGAAGATGACGCGGATAAGGAAGGCGCCGAGGAAGATGAGGAGGAGGGGACAGCAAAGTCTTCAGCGACCTGACCCACCTGGCAGCGCTGGCCTTCAAGCGCTTGGCTCCCGAGGAAGTGTCCGACTGGCTGCACTTGGATGACGCCGCTGCGGGCACAGAGGAGGAGGAGGAGGACGGAGAAGAGGACGCGGACGGCGCCGAGGGCTGCGGGGTGGAGGAAGATGAGGAGGAGGAAGCAGCCGGCGGCAGAGGCGGCGGGGAAGGAGGAGACCCGTTGCTTCCCACGGCTCGGGAAGCCATCCAGGGCCTGGAGACGGCGCTGCGGTGGCTGGAGGGGCAGGACCCCCGGGAAGTGGGGCCGCTGAAGCTGGTGCAGCTCCGCTCCCTCATCTCCACAGCCCAGCGGCTGTGCCGCGGCCGCAGCCCCCCCGCCTAGGCCGGGGGCTACCGCTGCCCACATCTGGGCTACCGACCGCCCCCCGCTTGGCCACGGGGCTGGGGACGCCCCGTTATCCGGAGGTGCCGCCCGTCCCCGCCAGGATTCCTCCTGGGGATCAGGAGGCCGTGGGTCGCAGTTTCGGGGATCGTCGGGCGCCGGCTTGCGTTCCGGGGTCGTCCCTCGCCTAAACGTGGTGAGGAGGTGCTATTTTTTACATCCCTGGGCACTGGCACTGCCAGAAGGGGGGGTGGGTGCCCCCCCAAAATTCCCCGGTCGCCCCAATCCCGTGGGGAGAAGGGGTTAGGGAGGGACCTGCTCGGTGTCACCGGGATTATTGGGGATAATATCTCAGAGCGGGGCCCAGCCAGCTGGACAGGGACCACTCCCAAGGTGCTGTAGGGCAAATATTCCAGCCTGGAAGAGGTTGGTGATGCCCTTCCCACTGTTCAAACAAAACCCCCGTTAAGCCAGGATGGTTTGGGGCCGGTTGAAGGCAACTCCGTGCACTGGATTGGGAAAGGGATGCTTGGGTGGCATCCCAGAAGCTGCAGCTCCCTGGAAAAGGTCACCACCACCATTCCCACCACAGCTGGCAACACCTGGACCGCGGAGTGCTGCCGGAGCAGGTACCTCATCCCGGCATCCCCGCGGAGCCGAAGACTCCGGGAACGGGGTGTTCCTTCCCGTGAGGTTTTGTGGGGTGGTTGGGGCTGGACGACACGTCTGGGCGAGTTTGAGGTCGGAGCAGGGATAGCCACCTTGGAATTCTGGAGGCCTCAGGAGAGGAATTTGGCAGCTCTTGGCCCGACCTGGATGAAATTTGAGCCGGTTGAAGCCAACGACTGAAGGGAGGGTGGGGGGAATGAGATGAACTCCTCGGAGCTGCCCCGTGTCAGCCGGAGGGGTGGAGGTTTCTCCGTGTCTTGGTCTCCTCACCGCAGAGTTTATGGAAATTAAATGGATTTTTATTCCCACGTGGAGCCTGTTGTTTGTGAACAGCCACATGGAGCCATCCCAGGGGGGTTTGGGGTGGCATGAGGGGGACCTCGGCGTGGTTGTGGCCCCTGGGGGTGGTTTTCTCCCCAAAAAAAAAAAAGACCCCACAAAAATGTTTGGGGAGCTTGGGATGTAGCTGGTTTCAAGCAGGAATTCGGGGAATCCTCGGTTGTGAGACAGGAACGTCGCCGAGCTCTGCCGAGCTCGGCAGAAGGTGCTTGGCCCGATCCGGGGGGGTGAGACCTTCAAAGCATGGAATGGGTTGGGTTGGAAGGGACTGTGGAATTCCAACCCCCTGCCACGGGCAGGGACACCTCCTGCTATCCCAGGTTGCTCCAACCCGGCCTTGGGCACTTTCACAGCTTCTCTGGGAATTCCAGCCCAGCCCCTCCCCACCCTCCCAGCCAAGAATTCCTTCCTGATATCCCATCTAACCCTCTGGCACTGGGAAGCCATTCCCTGTGTCCTGTCCCTCCGTCCCTCACCCCAAGTCTCTCTCCAGCTCTCCTGGATTCTCTTTAGGCCTTGGAAGGGGCTCCAAGGTCTCCCTGGAGCTCTTCCCTTCTCCGGGCCGGCTCCAGCTCCATTTCTGGCTTCTGTGGAGCTTTGCTAATTAATTAATTGGGTGCCTGGAGAAGGTTCCCACTCAGGTCATGCCTTGGCAGCACCATAACTTGGGAATCTGTGGAATCTCTCTTGGTTCGGTGCCAGCGGCCTCTGGGGCAACCAAATCCTGGGGAACGGGGTCAAAGCCACAGGATCCAGAGGCTCAGCATCCAGATGTTTCCCCCAAAACCCACGTTTTGCCCGGAAAAGGCCTTTTCACCCTCAAAGCAGTTCCCAAATCAGCTGGAACGTTCATTGTATCCGTGCAGGTGCCGGCAGGCAAAGGGAGCTGAATTAGGGCCCGGAAAAGGTTTGGATCCTCGCTGGATAGTTTGAGTTTCCACTCCCTGGAGCTGGGAGTGGGTCTAGGTTTCCATCCCGTTCCCGTGGAGCCAGAGAGGGACCCGTCTGTGGGATCACGGGGGAGGTTTTTAGGTTGGTCGACCTCCTCCCTGTATTTTTGGGAATAAAACTCTCACGGTGCCCGGGAAGGTCCCTAGTGTCCCACTGCAGGGATGTGGCCGCTCTCCCAGCTCCGGGAGGCTGCAATTGGGATCAGCCCATCCCCAAAACCCCGGCCTTGGTGCCACACAGAGGGCACGGCGCCCGTGAGGGCGGGTGGCACCTTCATCCTTGGCGATGGTGGCACCAACTCCATCCCTGGGGGGAGCAGAGCTGGCGTGGCACCGGCACCATCCCGGGCACCCACAGCTGGGTGGTGACCCCGTGGTGGCTCCCACACCCCCCAGGGACCGAAGGCACCCAGAGGAGCCACCCATGGCTGGGTGGTGACCCCATGGTGGCTCCCACACCCCCCTAGGACCAAAGGCACCACAAGGAGCCACCCACAGCTGGGTGGTGACCCCGTGGTGGCTCCCACACCCCCCAGGGACCGAAGGCACCATTCCAGGCACCCACAGCTGGGTGGTGACCCCGTGGTGGCCCCCACACCCCCCAGGGACCGAAGGCACCCAGAGGAGCCACCCATGGCTGGGTGGTGACCCCATGGCAGCTCCCACACTCCCCAGGGACTGAAGGCACCTGGAGGAGCCACCCATGGCTGGGGGGTGACCCTGTAGTGACTCCCACACCCCCCAGGACCGAAGGCACCCGGAGGAGCCACCCATGGCTGGGTGGTGACCCTGTAGTGGCTCCCACACCCCCCAGGGACCAAAGGCACCCGGAGGAGCCACGTGTGCCCCCGTTTATTTGCTCGCGGCCCCGCTGAGGTAACACGTGCCCAATGCCACCTTCCCACCCCCCTCCAGCTTCTCCCGAGGGCATCAAGATCTCCTGGAAGAGGCCGGTTTTGGTCCCCATCACCCTTTCCTGGGACAAGAGCCGGGCCAACTAGTCCTTGGCCATGTCCCAGGCGCGGTTGGTGGCCGCCTCCACAGCGTTCATGACGGTGGCCCGGAGCGCTCCCTTCTCCAGCTGGTGCAGGGCATGGATGGTGGTGCCCCCGGGGGTGCAGACGTCCCCCCGCAGCTTTGCCGGGTGTTCCCCGGTCTCCAGCAGCATCTTGGCAGCGCCCTACAGAAAAAAGGGCACCTCCCAAATCATCCGACCCCCTCCGGGAAGCGCCGGCCCGGCGAGGGATCGGCCCGTGGCCTTCTGAGGGTGGCCTCGTTTTTTGGGGGGCCAAGAAGGGGAAGGGAGGCAGGAGGGGAGTCAGAACCTCCTC